TCAAACTCTCACACTCACTGTCAAAGTCTCTCACACACATTATCAAACTCTCTCACACACACTATCAAACTCTCACACTCTATCAAACTCTATCACACTCACTATCAAACTCTCTCACACTTGCTATTAAACTCTCACACTCTATCAAATTCTCTCACACTCACTATCAAACTCTCACACTCGCAATCAAACCCTCTATCCCTTGCTATCAACCTCTCACACTCATTATCAAAATCTGTCACACTTGCTATCAAACTCTCAAACTCGCTATCAAACTTTCACACTCGCAATCAAACCCTCTTACACTTGCTATTAAACTCTCTCACACTTACTATCAAATCCTCTCACACTTGCTATCATGCTCTCACTCATTATCAAACTCTCGCATTTACTATCAAACTCTCTCACACTCACTATCAAACTCTCTCACACTCGCTATCAAACTCTCTCACACTATCAAAATCTCTCACACTCACTATCAAAATTTCTCACACACACTATCAAACTCTCTCACACTTTTTATTAAACTCTCTCACACCCACTATCAAACTCTCTCACCCACTAACAAACTCTCTTACACCCTATCAAACTCTCTCACACGCTATCAAACTCTCACACCCTATCAAACTCTCTCACACTCACTATTAAACTCTCACACTCGCTATCAAATTCTCTTCCATCATACTCTTACACCCTTTCAAACTCCCTCACACTCACTATCAAACTCACACTCGCTATCAAATTCTCTCACACTTGCTATCAAACTCTCACACTCTATCAAACTCTCTCACACTCAATATCAAACTCTCTCACACACACTCTCAAACTTTCTTACACTTGCTATTAAACTCTCTCACACCCACTATCAAACTCTCTCACCCACTGTCAAACTCTTTCACACCCTATCAAACTCTCTCACACTCACTATCAAACTCTCTCACACACGCTATCAAACTCTCACACACTCACTATCAAACTCACACTCGCTATCAAAGTCTCTCACACTTGCTATCAATCTCTCACACTCATTATCAAAATCTCTCACACACACTATCAAACTCTCTCACGCTTGCTATTAAACTCTCTCACACCCACTATCAAACTCTCTCACCCACTATCAAACTCTCTCACCCACTATCAAACTCTCTCACACCCTATCACACTCTCTCACACACGCTATTAAACTCTCTCACACCCACTATCAAACTCTCTCACCCACTATCAAACTCTCTCACCCACTATCAAACTCTCTCACACCCTATCACACTCTCTCACACACGCTATCAAACTCTCACACCCTATCAAACTCTCTCACACTCACTATCAAACTCACACTCACTATCAAAGTCTCTCACAGACACTATCATACTCTCACACCCTATCAAACTCTCTCACACTCACTATCAAACTCACACTCGCTATCAAAGTCTCTCACACTTGCTATCAATCTCTCACACTCTATCAAACTCTCTCACACTCAATATCAAACTCTCACACACACTATCAAACTCTCTCACACTTGCTATTAAACTCTCTCACACCCACTATCAAACTCTCTCACACTCATTTTCAAACTCTCTCACACTATCAAACTCTCTCACACTCACTATCAAACTTGCTCTCACTCATTATGAAAGTCTCTGACACTCGCTTTCAAATTCTCTCACACTCTATCAAACTCTCTCACACTTTATCAAACTCTCTCACACTCGCTATCAAACTTTCTCACTCGTTATCAAACTCTCTCACACTCGCTATCAAATTCTCTCACACTCACTATCAAACTCGCTCACACTCACTATCAAACTCTTAGGCATTCTTGATAGTGAGTGTGAGAGAGTTTGATAGTGTTTGAGAGAACTTGGTAACGTTTTTTGATTGGCCCAGAGAGTTATCATTTAAATTACCAGTTTCTAATTTGCTCATAGTCAAATTTGCCCATCCCCCCATGCAGTAGTTCACTCTTGAAAAAAGATGGTTCTTCAAGGGTACTTTAGTAAAGACAATGGTTCTATATAGAACTGGGAACACAAAAAGAACAATTTGCATGATTAAAGAGCTTTTTTCATGGTGAAATTGTTCTTCAGATTGATAGACAATGTGCTGCAGATGGTTCTACATATGATCAAAGTCTTTTTGGTGCTATAGAAGTCTGTGTATCTTTGGGTCATTCCATTTTCAATTAAAAAACATTATTGAAAAACAGGAAAATGGGTCAATTCTCCTTTTTATTCTGTTATTATCAGTGGAAAAATCAGGAAATAACTTTGTTTCACAGTTACATAAACTTATTATAAACTTCGTCATAGTGACTGTTACAGCTCCAGACTTATGAATTAAAGCTGTGAGCTCCGCTGTCCTGTGTTCATATTGTTCATATGATACTGTGGCAGCTCCGGTTTTGGGAAGGAGCTTTAGTGGTTTGTTATGCAGAGCTGAGCTGTGGCTCCACCCCGTAAAAAGGGATGGTGTTGTGGTTTAATGTTGTTCATGTTGTTGTTCTGTTAGTCTAAAATGTATGTGTGTGTTATTTGCGTTATTCTGTAGCCTCTCCTGTGTCTCCTTCTTCACCAACACTCTCATCACTCATCTCTGAGTGAGGCACCAACAACCAGTGCCTTCGGTACATTAAACTAAACTGTCACTGCCAGACTCTATGTTGGGCTTTAGGTCCTGTCGTGCTGTTTGTTGTAAAGGAAAAGTGTGGATTAACCATTATTTTCACACATAAACAACTGAACAACTGAACAATAATAATAATAATAATAACAATAATAATAACAATTTAAATGTTTATTTATATAGCACCTTTCATACATTAAAAATGCAGTTCAGAGTGCTTTACAATATAAAATAAAAACAACAGAGGAAGAAGAGAAAAAAGATCATCACAAAAACAAAATATGTTAAATAATAAATAGCAGAAAATGGATATATTAATAAATACAATTTAAAAAACACAAGATAAAACAAAAGAAAGAAATAATGAAACACAGTTAACACCAACATAAAAGTAATAGTAATATTCCAGTAAAAACAAAAGAAACAACAATGGAAAAATAATTAAACGCTAAAATCGCTAACAATGTGATTTAGAGCTAACTAGTTTAGTTGTGTGATTTAGAGCTAACTAGCCTGGAAGTCTGATTTAGAGCTAATTAGCTTTGCAATGATTTTAGCTAACTAGCCTAGCAATATGATTTAGAGCTAAGCAGCCTAGCAATGTGATTTAGAACTAAGTAGCCTAGCATTTTGATACACAGCTGTGTAGTTTTGCAGTGTAAATTAGAGCTAAGTAGCCTAGCACTGTGATTTAGAGCTAATTAGCCTTGCAATGTGATTTAGAGATAACTAGCCTAGCAGTGTGATTTAGAGCTAACTAGCCTAGCAGTGAGACTTGATGCTAACCAGACCCAGCAATGTGATTTAGAACTAACTAGCCTAGCAGTTTGATTTAGAGTTGTGTAGCCTTGCAGTATACATTAGAGCTAACTAGCCTAGCTGTGTGATATAGAGCTAACTAGCCTAGCAGTGTGATTTAGAACTAACTACCCTAGCTATGTGATTTAGAGCAAACTGGCCTAATACTGTGATTTAGAGCTAACTAGCCAAGTAGTGTGATGTAGAATTCACTAGCCTATCTCTATGATTTAGAACTAACTAGTGTAGGAGTGAGATTTAGAGCTAACTGGCCTAGCAGTGTGATTTAGAGCTAACTAACCTAGGAGTGTGATTTAGAGCTAACTAGCCTAGGATTGTGATTTAAAGCTAACTAGCCTAGCAGTGTGATTTTGAGCTATGTATCAAAGCAGTGTAGAGTAGATTTAACTAGCCTAGCACTGTGATTAAGAGCTAATTAGCCAAGCAGATTTATTTATAGGAAATTAGCCTAGCAGTGTGATTTAGGGCTAACTAGGCTCACAATCTATCAACATGATTTAAAGCTAACTAGCCTAGCGGTGTGATTTTGAGGTATGTAGCCTAGCATGGTGATTTTGAGCCAACTTACCTAGTAATCTAGCAGCATGATTTAAAGCTAACTAGCCTAGCAGTGTGATTTAGATGTATGTAGCCTAGCATGGTGATTTCGAGCTAATTTGCTTAGCAATTTAGCTGCATGATTTAGAGCTAACTTTCTAGCAGTGAGATTTAGAGCTAACTAGCCTCGCAGTGTGATTTAGAGTTCACTAGCATATCACTGCAATTTCCAGCTAATTATGCTAGCAGTGTGATTTAGAGCTAACTAGCCTCATACTGTGATTTAGAAGTTTAGTCTTTATTTTAGTTTAGTTTTATCTGGACCGTAAGGTCTGAAGAGTGTTTTATACAGTAATGATCTGTTTTAGTCTCCATTTTAGTTTAGTTTTATCTGGACCGTAAGGTCTGAAGGGTGTTTTATACAGTAATGATCTGTTTTAGTCTCCATTTTAGTTTAGTTTTATCTGGACCGTAAGGTCTGAAGAGTGTTTTATACTGTAATGATCTGTTTTAGTCTTTATTTTAGCTTAGTTTTATCTGGACCGTAAGGTCTGAAGGGTGTTTATACTGTAATGATCTGTTTTAGTCTCCATTTTAGTTTAGTTTTATCTGGACCGTAAGGTCTGAAGGGTGTTTTATACAGTAATGATCTGTTTTAGTCTCCATTTTAGTTTAGTTTTATCTGGACCGTAAGGTCTGAAGAGTGTTTTATACTGTAATGATCTGTTTTAGTCTTTATTTTAGCTTAGTTTTATCTGGACCGTAAGGTCTGAAGGGTGTTTTATACTGTAATGATCTGTTTTAGTCTTTATTTTAGCTTAGTTTTATCTGGACCGTAAGGTCTGAAGGGTGTTTATACTGTAATGATCTGTTTTAGTCTCCATTTTAGTTTAGTTTTATCTGGACTGTAAGGTCTGAAGGGTGTTTTATACTGTAATGATCTGTTTTAGTCTCCATTTTAGTTTAGTTTTGATTTGATATGAAGTTTAATGAATGTATAAATGTGTGTGTTTGTTCTTCAGGATGGATCATGGAGGGAAGATCAGGATCAAACCAGGACCACAGAAATGTAACAAACACACACACACACACACACACACACACACACACACACATACACACACACACACACAGATACACACACTCACACACACACACACCTTACACTCATAATACAGTACACACACAAATAAATATGACATATATGACGTGTATATAGACATATATATACATACTTTGTGTGTATATCTGTGTGTGTGTGTGTGTGTGTGTGTATCTCTGTGTGTGTGTGTGTACAGATGCTGTTAATCTCACTCTGGATTCAAACACAGTGAACAGTCGTCTCTCTCTGTCTGAGAGGAACAGAAAGGTGAAGTGGGTGAGAGAAGATCAGTCGTATCCAGATCATCCAGACAGATTTGATAGCTGTCCTCAGGTTCTGAGTGTGGAGAGTCTGACTGGACACTGTTACTTGGAGGTTCAGTGGAGCGAAATCAGGGCTGATATATCAGTATCATACAGAGGAATCAGGAGGAAAGGAGACAGTAAAGACTGTGTGTTTGGATTCAATAAACACTCCTGGAGTCTGAGCTGCATTAATAACAGTTACTCTGTCTGGCACAATAAACAGAGAACTGTCCTACCTGCCCCCCACTCCCCCTCTAAAAGAGTAGGAGTGTATCTGGACTGGGGGTCCGGCACTCTGTCTTTCTACACCATCTCCCCTAACACACACATACTGACCCACCTACACACACTCAGCACCACATTCACTGAACCGCTCTACACTGGATTTGGAGTTTATTATAACTCCTCAGTGAGTCTATGTGAGAAAGAATAACCTCTACAGAGAGAGAGAAAGAGAGAGATACAGACAGAGACACAGACAGAGAGAGAGATACAGACAGAGAAAGAGAAATGCAGAAAGAAAAAGAGACAGAGAGATACATGGAGAGATACAGACAGAGACATAGATGCAGAGAGAGATACAGAAGAGACAGAGAGATACAGACAGAGACAAAGATACAGAGAGAGATACAGAAGAGACAGAGAGATACAGACAGAGACAAAGATACAGAGAGAGATACAGAAGAGACAGAGAGATACAGACAGAGACAAAGATACAGATAGAGAGACATATAAAGAGAGAGAGAGAGAGTTACAGAGAGAGATACAGATAGAGAGAGAGGGAAAGAGATACAGACAGAGAAAGAGAGACACAGAGAGAGAGAGAGAGAGAGAGAGAGAGAGAAAACAGAGAGAGTGGGGGATCAGGTTGGTGAAAATGTGTTTGTTGTTTATAAGTTTGATCTCAGACTGTAAATATGAGAGAAATCAAACCTTTCTGTGTTTAAATTATTCAGAATAAATAAAGAGAATAAAATAAACTGTTTTCTCTAAAATGTGATTCAGAAAAAGATTCACTAAACAGAACAAAAACACAGACGTGAGTTCATATATGAGACACATTTCAGATTCACTGTTACTCAAACACACACACATTACACACACACACACACTTTTACACACACACACATTTATACAAACACACGTTTACACACACATTTACACACAAACACATTTAAACACAAACACACATTATACAAACACATTTACACACACACACACACACATTATACAAACACACATTTACACACACACAACACAAACACATTTACACAAACATTCACACAGAAACGCACACATTTACATACAAACATACATATTTACACACACACAAACATACAAACACACGTTTACACAAACACAGTTATACACACAGATACACACAAACACATTTACACACACATTATACAAACACACACACTCACACTAATATATATATATACACACAATACACACACTACAAACACACCCACACATGCAGAGAAAGAGAGAGAGAGAGACAGAGAGAGTGACACAGATAGATGGGGGGGGGTCAGGTTGGTGAAAATGTGTTTGTTGTTTATCGGTTTGATCTCAGACTGTAAATATGAGAGAAATCAAACTTTTCTGTGTTTAAATTATTCAGAATAAATAAAGAGAATAAAAATAAACTGTTTTCTCTAAAATGTGATTCAGAAAAAGATTCACTAAACAGAACAAAAACACACAGACATGAGTTTATATATGAGACACATTTCAGATTCACTGTTGCACACACACACATTTACACACACACATACATTATACACACACATTTAAACACACATTACACAAACACATTTACACACACACATTTACACACACACACATTACACAAACACACATTACACACATTTACACACACATTTACACACATTTACACACACGCATTATATAAACACACATTTACACACTCACACACACACATTTACACACACGCATTATATAAATACACATTTACACACTCACACACACACATTACAGACACATTTACACACACATTGTACAAACACACATTTAAACACAAACACACATTTACACACAAACACACATTTAGACACATTTAAACACACGAACACATTTACACACACACATGCAAACACACATTTAGACACACAGATTTACACACAAACACATTTACACAAACATTTATTACACACACATTTACACAAACACATTCACACAAACGCACACATTTACACACATACATTTACATACAAATACACATGTTTATACACACACAGATACACACACACATGCATTATACAAACACACATTCACACATTACACAGACACATTTACACACGCATTGTACAAACACACATTTAAACACAAACACACACATTATACAAACACATTTACACACATTTAGACACACACATTTAAACACACATTTAGACACAGATTTACACACAAACACATTTACACACACATTATACAAACAGTTATCACGCACATTTATCACACACACATTTACACAAACACATTCACACACAAACGCACACATTTACACACATTTACATACAAATACACGTTTATACACACACATAGATACACACACATACAAACACCATTTACACACACAAACACACATTTACACACACACACATTATACAAACACACACTCACACTAATATATATACACACACAATACACACACACTACAAACACACACACACACACAGAGAGAGAGAGACAGAGAAAGTGATACAGGTGGGGGGGTGGGGTCAGTTTGGTGAAAATGTGTTTGTTGTTTATCAGTTTGATCTCAGATTGTAAATATGAGAGAAATCAAACCTTTCTGTGTTTAAATTATTCAGAATAAATAAAGAGAATAAAATAAACTGTTTTCTCTAAAATGTGATTCAGAAAAAGATTCACTAAAAAGAACAAAAACACACAGATATGAGTTTATATATGAGACACATTCAGATTCACTGTTACACAAACACACACTCACACACATTTATACGCACACATTTACACACAAACACACATTCACATGCATTATACAAACACATTTACACACACACACATTACACAATCAGACACATTTACACACGCATTATACAAACACATTTACACACTCACACATTACACAATCAGACACATTTAAACACATGCATTATACAAACACACATTTACATGCACACATTATACAAACACACAAACACACATTTACACACATTTAAACACGCACACATTTACACACACATTATACAAACACACACATTTACACACACATTATACAAACACACACATTACACAAACATTTATTACTCACACACACATACACACATTTACACAAACACATTCACACACAAACGCACACATTTACATACAAACACACATTTACACACACATTTACACAAACACACTATACACAAACACATTTGCACAGACACATTATACAAACACACACTCACACACTAATATATATACACACACAATACACACGCATGAATCTCATTCACCAGAGAAATGTTATTATTTTATTAAATAATCTAAATCAATTATAAATTAAAGTCAGTAATAAAGTATTTTGAAGGAAATATAAACCTACACCATATAAAGAAATTGTAAGATAAAGCTCACATGACTGTGTTGGTTCAGTGGTGACCGGTGTTACGGTAAATTCAGTCCCCCTGTTTCCCCTCATTGCGCATATCAAGATCATGACGTCTTCAGCTGATGCTGCACTGCAGGGCTTAGATGATCCTCTGACTGTCTGAACTGAGTCTGAGGAGGATGTCATCCAATCTTTAATGTCCTACACATCACATTAATCTAAGGTTAATGTTAATTCATTTTATACAGTTTTATACAGTTGTATGTAACACAGCTCATAAACTGTGTGGTTAGGGTCAAATGTGAAGTGGCCAGTTTACCAGCTTCCATACAAATGAACACAGGCACAACTTTGTAATTAACATCTGACCAACACAATACAGACCCCTGAAAGAGCTCTTTCTGCTGGTAGGAGAAAAAAATCAGTTTTGGTTCATATTTTGATTCATTAGGTTAAAATAATTATTTTTAAAAGTAACATCTCAATAATCTTATTACTCATTAAGGAAGCGCATAATTATTTTATAATGAGTAATTATTTTGAGAAAATAAGATTATTTGAGTCAGAAAATTCTGGAAAATATGTATTCATTTGGACTTTCTGATTTGGAACACCTGCTCATCTCAGATGAGTTTGAGTTTGAGTTCAGTCCATTTGGAAACTGAGATATTGAACATTTTTTAAAACTTGCTCTTTAGACACTTTGTTGAGTGTAAATCGACCCAAAGTTTCAGGAACAGCAGTTTGAAACTGCACACAGTCAGTATTTACTGGTATTCACTATCAGCCCACTGTGAGAGAAATCAGAGTAGGTGCTGTTTATGGTGCAGAAAACTTTGGTAAATTTGTTCTTTAGGCTCGTGTTTCATACAGAACTCGCAGATTTACACCTGAAACTGGATCTAAAAGCTCAGAACATCAGGTCCTCTGTTTACTCCAGATCACCCAGAGAAGGTCGGGGCTGATTCCTCTTAAAACATCTACTGCATTAAGAGTCTGCTGGTGTGTTTGAGTTCAGTCTGTAATGAACCCTGAAAGCCACGCCCCCTACCAGAGTCTGACCTCTGATCACTGTATTCTCAGAAAGTAATTCAGGCTTCTGTTTTTAGCTTCATGCTAATGATCTTTAGTCCATGTTTCTAGTAACAGTGAGTCATACAGAGTCAGAAACCACATAATCAAGACTATTAGAGACACTGAAGAGCAGGAGCAGGCGGGGAAAAAAGCATGCATGAAGAGAAATCCCACAAACTAATGAACAGCCTAAATAAAGTAGAATGATCACTAAATCATATATATAAACAATATAGAAGGAAAACAGTAAAACAATTAAAATGTCATTCTAAAGAACTGTGAAGCAGCCGATCACGTGAACAACACGCAGATTCATTCTCCCAGAGGAAACCACCTCAAAACATTAAGAACAGACAGACATTAACGTCACCCAGTAAACAAAGAGCTAACAGTGACAGTGACGACAGTAACAGAGCTGTCAGGACAGTGTAGTTAAGAGCTGATAGATCAAACAAACAAAGTAAACGAACAAGTCAGTGTTTACTAATAAATAGAGCAGCACAACAACCACTAAACGAGGGAGCCGAGAGGCTGTAGCACGAAGTCCCGCCCCCTCTTGGTCCGCTCGAGCTCTCTGATTGGTCAAAAGGAGACAGCGCATCACTTCAGTCCACTATCAGGCTGAAAAGATGAGAGAGAGAAAAACACGCCCACATCGCTCACAGTAACACTGTGGTTTAATTCCTGCTCTTAAATGGTGAATAAATGCCGTTTGGTGAAGTTACTCACAGTGAGCCTGATGACCACGACTGCTGTGTTATTTCAGCAGAGAA